GGGTCCTTTTTTACAAGGGTGCCGTGCTGTTTTCGGGACCTAAACTCGAGCCCTCAACCCTAAACCCTACACCCTAAACCCTAAACCCGAAACCCTAAACCCCCAAACCCTAAACCCCTAAACCCCTAAACCCTAAACCCCTAAACCCTAAACTCTAACCCCCTAAACTACCCTTATGCCTTTTCTGCATCCTGAGGCCGGAAATCTGGTTTCGCGAGGGCTGGACCAGAAGGGCGGGTTGGGGAATTTGGGCTCAAGGGCTTAGGGTAGGGTTTGAGGGTTTCGGGTTTAGGGTTTAGGGTTTGAGGGTTTGAGGGTTTGAAGGTTTAGGGTTTCAGGTTTAGGGTTTAGGGTTTGAGGGTTTGAAGGTTTAGGGTTTCAGGTTTAGGGTTTAGGGTTTGAGGGTTTGAGGGTTTAGGGTTTCGGGTTTAGGGTTTGAGGGTTTAGGGTTTGAGGGTTTATGAGTTTAGGGATTAAAATTTTGGGTGTAGGGGCTTCAGACTGGGTAGTTTCGACGATCCAGGGGGGCATTGAATGGGCCGTACAGAGGGTCCTATGAAGGTTTCTTCTCGGTTTTCTATAAAGGTTCGTGCTTAGAGAAGGAAGCGGCCCTAAAGCATGCACTCAGATGGAATCTTTCTTGTATGAGGACCTCTGAGGTATCAGCTAACCTCAAAAATTTGAGAAGCCCCCACATGATCAGGAGAATAGTGCAAAGAGCTTATGCTTTGAAATGGCAGAGATTCTGTTCTACGGCCCCTAAAGCGATGAGATAGGCTGCCATAAAGCGCCACGGTTCTGGGTCTGGGCAAACCCTGTCGTGGACGCCGAGACCTTCTGAGGCCAATGCGACAGCTGAAGCGGTCATCCGAAGCCTTTGCTCTTCAATGAAACCCTAAATCCTAAGGCTTAAATATATAAACAGTACATGTGTCCGTATAAGTATATGTATGTATGTATGTATGTATGTACGTATGTATGTATATATGTATGTATGTATGTATGTATGTATGTATGTCTGTATGTATGTATGTACATGTCTATACAGAGTTGACACAATAATCAGACTACAGAAACACAATGTAGCATTTCATGCCACCAGTACTTCGAGGATGCTTCGGTCGCCGCACATCATCTCCGAGCTGTCGCTGCGGCGCCCGCAAGGGGAGGACAAAGCTTAGGAGCCCCAAAAAGAACCTAAGCAGTAAGCATTTTTATAGGGATATCCCGACCTTATTGGGCTTCATTATAAGGCGGGTTTATATGGGATATCCCTATCCAAATTTTTGCTTAGGTGCTTTTTTGGGGCGCTAAAGGCTTCCGTCCAAGGGGTCAGGGCTGACAGCCGGAAGCTTGGGGTTCAACAGGGCTTTAGCAGCTATATGATGGTTATAGTATAGGTATGTAAGGGTTATAATGCAGTCATATAGCGGTTATTCTATAGCAATATAGTTGTATAAGGGTTATAATACAGTCATATAGCAGTTACTCTATAGTTATACGATGGTTATAATCTAGTTATATATAGCCCTGAGTATGACCCCGAACATGCACTGTTACAGGGTGGTGGAGCAGTACCCAGGATTTAGAAGGTTCCCTTGAGGATTTTCAAGGTCGGGCTTTGTGGCGTATTGCATTCGGGGTGACGAGGTTCAGGGTTCAGGGCCGTTGAGATGTCGGGGTTAGGGTTTAAGGTTTAGGGTTTAGGGGTTCAGAGTTACGGTTTCGATGTCTATTTCAGCAAGACATCCCTGTGTATCCGAGTCAGCTGACATGTCTTCTTGCATTCCAGCGATGCTTGTGCCATTGCGGGGCGCAGAAGTAGCAGCAGCTGCCTCAACCCTGAGCCCCTAAGTCTCTAAAACTCGAAACCCTCCACAGAGTCCCAAGAGCCTGAGACCTTAGTATAGGGGCCTTAATAATTGGAATAGGGTTTGGGGTGCATTATACTATAATTATATTTAGGAACCCCCAGAACCCTATTTTAAATATTAAGGCCCCTACAGTACATTCCCAAGCCCACCTAAGTACAGGAGTCGGACAAGGCCGTGGACGCTGTCACACTCGAGGCATCCCGTGTTATGCTCTCAACCTGCTGTGTTGTGTGGCAGTGATTATTAGGACGATTCTGACCATTATGGGTATTAGTAATGCGTTTGGTATTATTAATTGCTACTGCCATAGCTGTTCTTCTTCTTATTGTTATTATTGTTATTACAAGTAGTACTACTGTTGTCATTATTGTTATTGTTGTAGGTATGATTTCTACGGTTGTTGTTGTTCCTCTTCTTCTCCTTCATCTTATTGTTGCTGTGAGCCTTCGGACAGGGCTTCAGAGCGGTTTCATAGGGTTAAGCTCTGCATATGAGTGTGTCTGGTTCTGTGTGGTTTCGTCGGGCTTTAGAAGCATTCTTGCAGGACCTTCTACGAAGTATTCGCACGCAGGTGCCCTAAACCTTAAGCCTTAACCCAAAATGCCGAATGCCTGGAGCCCCTAAACCCTAAACCCTAAAGAGCCTGAAACCCTCAACTTTGCGTTTGGTGGCCCAGACGCGGTGTCTCCCATTAATCGGTGTTGCCTTGGACTTACCTCGCCACAGGGTATTGAAACTCAGGGTATCGGTATCGGGGTTTCGGGGTTTGAGTTTGAGGTTTGTGGTTCAGGGTGAATGGCCTAATCTGCGAACATATGTGCTGTCATCGTACCATCAGTCACTGCCGGGAAGCGATCAAAGGAAAAGTCAGGACACTAGGAGCGAACCCCTCCACTACCATGTGGGAGCTTCAGACAAGGGAGGTCCTAATACGTTCGGTCCCTAGGTATCAGGGTCCTTTACGAGACCCTACTGTACACCTAAGTCCCAAGTTTAGGTATTACAGGGGTTTAAATCATTACCGATACTAGTTTGGGAGTTCATCATAATAGTTATAGGATAATTTGCCCAAAACCCTAGTCTACGTATTAATGCCCCTGCAGTATAGAAACCTTACAGCAAAAACCCATATCGCAACCCTTCAGCGGGACCTTATTCCAATGATCAAGGCCCCTACATCATAAAAACCTTACAGCAACTCTTATCGCAACGCCTTAACGGGACCCTATTCACATTGTTAAGGCCCCTACAGCAGCCTTCGTTTTCGCTCGATGAATCATAGGGACCTTAGGGGGGTAGGGGGGCCTCAATCCCAGAAATGAGGACCTGATAAGGCCTATTTAAGGAAGTACAGTCCCCTACACCTTTCCCCCCTACCCCCTTGAGGGCCCTTATGAATGAAGGTGCTGCCCCTGTAGCCGTGACAGCCCGAGCCCAATCGCCTTAACTGATATCCGACTGTTGCTTGGCTCGTACAAATATAGAAAAAGAAATATAGACACATGTATATATATATATACACATGTGTATGCATGCGTTTAATAGAGGACACACCATCACAAGGTAATACCCCGGTACGCTTTCGCAAGAAAGTCTGGTGGACGTTAAGTTATGGGTCTTACTTGGCGGGTATTGGGCTCTGGAACTTTAGCTCTAAATCAAGCCTTCAACCCGAAACCTAGAAATCTGCGCACCTGACCTAAATGCTAAGTCGAGAAATCTTCAAACCCAAGCCCCAAGATGCAATCACTGCGGTTTAACCCCAAACCCTAAACCCTCAACCCTAAACCCTCAACCCTAAGCCCCTAAACCCTCAACCCTAAACCCTAAACCCTAAACCGTTTTTCCCATGTCTCGGTGATCTCTCGCTCTGTGTTCAGGTTGGGCTCAGAATGCTGGGAGAGCCCCGCCCCCAGACATCTTGTCCTTTCCAAAGGAGGCACGGTTTAGGGTTTAGGGGTTTAGGGTTTAGGGTGTAGGGTTTAGGGGTTTAGGGGTAAGGGTTTAGGGTTTAGGGCATTCCATGTTTGTCTGGGGAGGGTGACCCTAACTGAGGGAGTTCAGGGGGTAAGTGTCGAGACTGACAATCGAGAGCTGGATCTAGGTTTAGGGTTTAGGGCGTTTGGGGGGCTTTGGGTTTAGGGTTTAGGGTTTAGGGGGTTTAGGGGGTTTAGGGTCTAGGGTTTAGGATTTAGGGTTTAGGGGGTTTAGGGGGTTTAGGATTTAGGGGGTTCAGGGTTTAGGGGGTTCAGGGTCTGGCCAATTCAGGGGCAGCTGGAGAAGCGGGTGTGCGCATGCCGAGTTGAAAGGAAGATCAAGCCACTCGTCGGCCAAGGTACACGGTTTAGGGTTTAGGGTTTAGGGGTACTATAGGGCCTAAATGGGAGTTTCCGAAAATTAGGGTACCTTATTTTGGGATCCTTATAATAAGGGTCCTACTATTTAGGGTACTATATTAGGGTCCCCTTATTTCGGAAACTCCCAAACAATGACCTTACTATGTTGGGGGTTCCTGATTTAGTCATAGTATAATCGGCCCCAAAACCCTAATCGAATTGTTAAGGCCCCCATGTTAAGAGCGTAAGATTGACCAACACCCGCACTCGATGAGGTTTACCCGGAGTCCTGACATGTAGATGAGCACGAATGCATCCAGCCGGCCTGCAAGCCAATTTCATAGAGGCTAGGCACACCTCTCTGTCTAGCCCTAAGCGGCATGAATTTCTAGGTGGCACTTCGGGAAAGCTTAACCTTTCCCTTCTGGTTACTGTAGAGGTACCTAGTCATAAGTACTTTTATCAAGAGTCCAAAACCACAACCCAGATGTTGGAGGAAAAGCAAAAACTCAAACCTAAAGCCCTAAACCCCTAAACCCTAAACCCCTAAACCGCTAAACCGCTCAGCCCAAACACCCTGAACCCCTAAACCCCAAAACCTCCTAAACCCGAAGCAAGCCTCATGACCCACGCAGGTTGATGGACATGCGCTTGGCAAACGTAAGTGCCACTGGTACGTCTTGGAAGGCAGCCATAGGACCGGGCCGCCGCCGTTCACAAGGGCTTTCAGGTTTTTCCCAGTGTTCTTGCAGGGCCTTGGGGTTTTGAAGGTTTAGAAAGCGGTTTTTGGGTTTGGATCTTTTTCTTCTGCCGTGTTCAAGCTTTGGGCGCTCCGTGCTTGAGCTTTATAAGGTTATGGGGGCAGGACTTTCGGGTTTGGGGCCGTGAACCGGGCTTGAGAAGAAAGGGCTTTCGGTTTCCTTGTCAGATTAGAGCAGCCATGTCTGGGGCCGGAAGACAGCCGTCAACCTAGGGGCAGAGTAGGTAACCTTTCACCTTTTGGGGCTTACATAATCGTACTATACTTCAAAAGGTTAACCTTTTTTGGACTGGAGCACTCAGCCCCTAGGTCAAGCATTTGCGTCTCTATTCCTGGTTTTGTGCATCCCTCAAGTGTGCTAAGATGGCTTCCCATGTAAGCGCCTGAGCCACAGGCGCGCCCTGCCAGATCACCGAGCACAGTTGGTACAGAAGCCTACAAATGATTACCGATGTTTCTGCTAGGGTTCCTTATTGTAAATATACTATAAAGGAGCTCAACTAAACCCTAAACCTCAAGCCCTTAACCCTAAA